AAGCTGTGGTACCTCCCTTCCACACTGAATTGGTGAACATGTCTTGTCCCACACCCTCCCCCCAGGTACTGGTAACAGCCAGCCGGGCACTGCTGCTGGCTCAGTGGGCCTGGCGAGAAGGCACCGTCACTCGCCTGTGGAAGGCGATCCACACAGCTCCCGTGGCCTCCATGGCTTTTGACGCCACCTCTACACTGTTAGCCACAGGTAGGAAGGACCCCAGGTAGGTGGGTGTGCTGGAGGGCACAAGGGCAAGGATTTTGTACACCCCCTAACCCCAAACACATTCCCACAGGTGGCTGTGATGGGGCTGTGCGTGTCTGGGACGTTGTGCAGCATTATGGGACACACCACTTTCGTGGCTCACCTGGCGTCGTGCAGTGAGTAGGGCGGTGGAGGAGGGGTGAGCAGATGCGCCCCCCCCCCCCCCCGGGAGTACCGCTCATTTGTCTCGACTTGCTTTCAGTTTGGTGGCCTTCCATCCAGACCCCTCCCGCCTGCTGCTCTTCTCCTCAGCCGTAGACGCCTCTATCCGAGTGTGGTCACTGCAGGACCGCTCATGTCTGGCTGTACTGACCGCACACTATAGTGCTGTCACTTCCCTGTCCTTTAGCGAGGATGGTCACACTATGCTCAGGTCAGTGGCTGGTCACACAGGGCTTGGGTGCAAGGGTCGGTGTGTACCGAGGCTGAGACTGGAACCGAGGGAACTCTTTCTCCTCAGCTCTGGCCGCGATAAGATCTGCATAGTTTGGGACCTTCAGAGCTACCAGACCACAAGGACGGTTCCAGTGTTTGAGGTATGGTTGCCCGCAGGCCAGGGTTGGTGAATGGGGCAGGGATGGGAGGCATGGTTGTATAGACTCTGACCTTGCTTATCCACAGAGCACAGAAGCCGCTGTGCTATTGCCTGAAGAGCCAGCACCTGCTCTGGGTGTGAAGAACTCAGGCCTACACTTCTTAACAGCTGGTGACCAAGGTGTGAGGGGCTGGCTACATGTGGACCAGGGGGCTGGGTGAAGCCTGTAGACCTCATTCCCCTAACAGCCCTTGTTCTCCTACAGGGATCCTCCGTGTGTGGGAGGCAGCTTCCGGGCAATGTGTATACACGCAGTCACAAATGCCAGGCCTACGGCAGGAACTGACCCATTGTACCCTGGCCCGCCCTGCTGGCCTGCTCCTTACTGTTACTGCTGATCACAACCTGCTGATCTATGAGGCACATTCTTTACAGTTGCAGAAACAGGTAGGCACGTGTCCCTGCCCAGTGCAGGGCTTGGGCTTCTGGCTTCCTTTCACACAGGCCCTTACTCATGACCTTCCTACCCCCCACAGTTTGCTGGCTATAGCGAAGAGGTGTTGGATGTCCGGTTCCTTGGGCCCAATGACTCCCACATTGTTGTGGCTTCTAACAGCCCTTGCCTGAAAGTATTTGAGCTACAGACTTTGGCGTGTCAGATTCTCCATGGTCACACAGGCAAGCCCTCTGACATCCCTGGCACCTTAGCCTGAATTTGATAGTTCCCTTTGCTGCCTCCTTGTTATACTTGGTCTCTGATCACTCTTCACCTCTCTCCCAGACATTGTCCTGGCCCTGGATGTGTTCCGGAAGGGGTGGCTTTTTGCCAGCTGTGCCAAGGTGAGACCTCCTAAGAGATATGAAGGCAGCTGGGCGGTGGTGGCACATGCCTTTAAGCCCAGCATTGGGGAGGCAGAAGCAGGTTGATCTCTGTGAGTTCAAGGCCAGCCTGGTCTAACAAGTGAGTTCTAGGACAGCCAGGGCTACACAGAGAAATCCTGTCTTAAAAAAAAAAAAAAAAAAAAAAAAAAAAAGTTGAAGGTACAGGCCTTGTAGGTGAAAACCAGTGCAACAGAACTCATCATTTCTCTTCCATCCCTTATCTCTGCAGGATCAGAGCATACGCATCTGGAGGATGAACAAGGCTGGCCAAGTGGCCTGTGTAGCCCAGGGCTCTGGACACACACACAGCGTGGGCACCGTCTGCTGTTCTAGGTAGTGTATCAGAACTGGACCCAGGTGTATCCAAGGAGGTAGAGGCCGAAGACATTGGATTCTAGCACAGGGTGGAGAATGAGTGTGCTGATTTGGCCACACTGTGAGGCTTTAGCAAAGATGCAGAACAGAGAGACAGGAAGACTCAGGTGCCATGGCAGATTTTTTGGAAGTGGCCTTGGAAGGTGGGCAAAATGGGAAGGATTTGAAATAGAGAAAAGGACATTGAACAAGAACAAGGTCCTGCTAGAGAAGGTGACCTTTCTTTAAGATCTTGACCCTGTGGTTGGAACCAGGTGACACAGAGGTTTGATGGTGCAGGCAGAGGCATTTGGGGTGTTGTAGGCCAGTCTGCATGCCAAGGTAACCCCTCTGGTCATAGTGCAGAAGACTAGATCCTGGTGCAGTACAGACAGTGTCCTTTGGCCTGAGCAGTGTCTCCCTCTTTCTTGTTGGCTATAGGCTCAAAGAATCATTCCTGGTGACAGGCAGTCAGGACTGTACTGTGAAGCTATGGCCCCTCCCTGAAGCCCTATTGTCCAAGAACACAGCTGTGGACAGTGGCCCCCTGCTTCTACAAGCTCAGACCACCCAGCGCTGCCATGACAAAGTAGCCACATGTGGCCTCTGGGATGGGGTGTGGCTGGGCCTTTGCTGATGGATGCCTAAGTTTTATACTTGCTTTCATCACCAGGACATCAACAGTTTGGCTGTCTCCCCCAATGACAAGCTGTTAGCTACAGGCTCACAGGACCGCACAGCTAAACTCTGGGCCTTGCCTCAGTGCCAACTGTTAGGTGTTTTTTCAGGCCACCGACGTGGTCTCTGGAATGTCCAGTTCTCACCCACAGACCAGGTGCTGGCCACAGCCTCTGCAGATGGCACCATCAAGCTCTGGGCACTGCAGGACTTCAGTTGTCTTAAGGTAAATATTCCCCTAGTCCCATCCCCTTTCCAGTAACATCTCACACTCACTCATAAGACTTGGCTCACTCTATCGCTTCCCTGCAGACATTTGAGGGACATGATGCTTCTGTGCTGAAGGTGGCCTTTGTGAGCCGTGGCTCGCAGCTACTGTCTAGGTGAGTGGGCTAGGAGAGGGCTGGGGGTGCCTGGTAAGGGACATGCTCCTATACCCTATACTGTGTCATTCTGTTCTCAACCTCAGTGGCTCTGATGGGCTCCTGAAGCTGTGGACAATCAAGAGCAATGAGTGTGTGCGGACCTTGGATGCTCACGAGGACAAGATCTGGGGTCTACACTGCAGCCGACTGGATGATCATGCCATCACCGGTGGCAGTGACTCCCGAATCGTTCTCTGGAAGGTTGTGAACCCTAAGGGGTGGGATGAGGCAGGGTAAAGGACAGCACTGGGGCTTGTCTGACCCTGATTTGATCCCAGGATGTGACAGAAGCTGAGCAGGCAGAAGAGCAGGCCAAACGGGAAGAGCAGGTGATCAAGTAAGTCTGGGCATCCCGTCAGCAGGAGCATCCCTTGCATGTCCTAGCAGTACCAGCTCCATGTCCTAGCAGCGGCAGCTGCTGCATCCAGTCAGTAGCAGCAGCCCCGTGTGCTCCCTGCTGTGCAGCACAGGAAATGGGTTAAGGTAGTGCCCACACTTGGGGTACTTGGGCCCAGGCAGGCTCTCTGAGTGACCCTGTCCTTTTTCCTCTGTCCCGCCAGGCAGCAAGAACTGGACAACCTGCTCCACGAGAAGCGGTATCTCCGAGCACTAGGCCTCGCCATCTCCCTGGATCGTCCCCACACCGTGCTGACTGTTATCCAGGGTTAGTGCGTGCCCCAGGAGGAGGCTGGGGGGTGGTGCTCCGGGAATCAATAAACCCTTTCCTCAAGCCCAGACTTCCCTCTCGCAGCCATCCGGAGGGATCCTGAGGCCTGTGAGAAGCTGGAGGCCACTGTGCTCCGATTGCGACGAGACCAAAAAGGTTGTGAGCAGGCTGGAAGGGACCAGCCTGGGGAGGGGGTGTCCTGGTGGGCAGAATGGGGTGGAAAGGCCCAACAAGCAGTGTGACCATCCCTGTCACCTGCAGAGGCCCTGCTGCGCTTCTGTGTCACCTGGAACACCAATTCTAGACACTGCCATGAGGCCCAGGCTGTGCTTGCTGTGCTGCTGCGGCATGAGGCCCCCGAGGAACTGCTGGCCTATGAGGGAGTGCGGGGTACACTGGAGGCCCTGCTGCCCTACACTGGTATGGGACGTGGCCCTGGGTCCAGGGAAGCTCCTGGTAGGTTCAAAGACAACCCCTTACCCTAGCCTCAACCTCCTCTGTCTTCCTCTAGAGCGGCACTTTCAGCGGCTTAGCCGGACACTGCAAGCAGCCACCTTCTTGGACTTCCTGTGGCACAACATGAAGCTGTCCCCGCTCCCTGCTGCTGCCCCAGCCCTGCAAGACACATAAAGTTGCACTTTTCTATCTTGGCTTCTCATGTGAATCTGATCAGTCTCTCCCAAAATCCTTGGCCATACTTGGCTGACCAAGACTTCAACTGTAGAAGTTCAAGCTCCCCCTGCCCTCCAGCCTGAAGTCCCTTAACGGCACAGTGAGATTAGGTGATGTCACTCCAGTTTTATTTAGAGGAAATGGGAAGTTGCTGCCACTTGGCCCTGGCAGTTGTAGAGTCCCACCCTCATCCTGCCCCCTTGGCGGGTCTGGATCCTTGCTTTGCCTGTGGTTGGGGTTGACAGTGCAACCTCTCTGCAGGCCCCCACAAATCTTCAAGTGGGAACCTGGGAACCTTGGTCCTGACTCAGTGCTCTGCGGGTGATGGAGCAGCATCGGCTCTGGATGGCACTCCTACAGGGGCGAGTTGGTACCACAGGGGGAACAGTCGTGTCCTCGGCCACCCTGTCTTCCCCACCATTGTCTAGGAGCCCTGGCCTGCCCAGGAGGGAGCCCAGCCCTTCGGGTTGCAGCAGCACTGCAGGCAAAAGGCCAGCACGGCCATTGTACCTGCAACAAGAGCAAGGTGAAGGATTCACCAGGTGCCGTGTCCCCCTCCCGCCAGGCAAGACCTACCACTGCCCCACCACACATGCACACCCCATGCACACATGCTGTACCTGCACAGCCACCAGCCTCGGTCTGAGGTCTCCAGCACTTGCACGCGTGCCCCCAAGGGCACAGAGAGCTCATCAGTGCGACTGCCTTCGTAGGCCTGGATAGCACAGAACTGCCTCCCTAGGATAGATATTTGGGGATCACTGTAGAACTGTAAGGCCAGAGTCCTGACCTTTCTCTGGACTCACTTGTAATGCACCCTGGACTGCTCTGAAACCCACTTGGGCTTTCTCCTGCCTGTCAGCCGAACCACTATCACCTCCCTCGTGGGTTCATCTCAGCCATGCCGTGAGGTCCATTGTAGGGAGGGGCTCATACCACTGCCTTGCAAGGCCAGGCCTGACTCCTGGCCTTGGCCTGGGACTATCTCCTCCAGGTAGGGAGCTGGAAACCAGGCTGTCTGTTGATCCTTGTTTGCCACCAGCCACCAGCCTGTTCAAGAGGCCAGGAGAGGGCTCAGATGCCAAGGTCTGCACCCATCTTGATCAGAGGACCCAGGTTCTTAATACTGTAACCCTACCTGAAGGATGCCGTAGTAATACGTCCAGGATTTCTTGAGCCTGCGTGTGGAAAGGACTGTCTCTTGTGTCATGGGCATGGAAAGGCTGTAAACAGCGCATCCTCTGAGGCTCCAGGCTATGAATAGTAAGGCTGCCTACAGGTTGGGATAGGGGCTCCTCTGCTGTGGGCAGGATCACCAGGCTGTGCAGGGCAGCCAGCACACGTGAGAAATCAGGAGGAAGGATGGGAATACCCCTTTCCCCGAATACACATAGGTCAGCCCGGCCTTCTCATCTGCCCTTCCAACAAGAGCATGGGCTGGGAGTAAGGTGAATACTAGTCACCTGCCAGGAGGCAGTGTGGGCTCCAGATCCAGAGGTTTGGGTGCAAAGAAGTCACTGAGTGCTGAGCTCCTCAATATGCGCTCTGAGGTTGCCAGCAGTGCCTGTACATAGGTGTCCAGCAGCCGCAAACGTACCAGACCTCGGCCAGTATGCCCCCGACGAGTCAGCAATGGAGCATCTGCCCAGGTATCACAAGCATACACTGTGGGACCCCTCTCACCCACCCACACTTGTTTGGCTCACCATCCCTATGTCCCCTCAAGGCCTGACCAGGAAGCTTAGGAAGAACTCGTTCAGATGTCCGCAGCAGGCCCGCCTCCACTGGGAAAGTTTTCTTAAGGATCTTCTGATGGGGAGAAGCATGTGTCAGTCTCTGGAAGTGGAGAGAACCTCCAAGGGAGGGAAGGGTCCCTAGAAGGGCTCCTCCAGGCAGAAAGGGAAGTCCTTGGACCAAGATCATTGACAGGTCGTAAATCTAGAGGACTCTGGACTGGGGGAAATAACCCATTGAGGTCTAGTTCCAGTGTTACTTACCTGCAGCTGCCTAAACTCATCCCAGCTCCTTCGAACAAATGTGTCACTCTTGTCCGACCAGCATACAGAAAAGGCAAATGTCTGTGAGGAAAGGTCAAGGTGCCGTCTTCTTCAGACTTTGCCAGCTACCCTTCTGCCTCTAGAGAATATTGGGGTAAGATTGAGGGACCTAACTGGTCCTACCTGGAGTCGCTCCATCTGCACCAGGGCTACAGCATGGGCTGCTGCTGGGTGTCTTGGACTTGCCATGGTTATGAATGGCCTCCCACAGGGTGCTTGAAGGGATTCTGAGCATCCGGAAGAAGTGAGGTGGAATTTCCCCACACAGCCATATAAGTAGAATCCCTACAGAACAGTCACAGGTTCAATTTCCTGGTTCCTAACACAAAGTCTAAGAGGATTCATCATGGGAAAATTGTGCTGGAGAGGAGCAAGCCAGGGCAGGTCGAAGGTAAAAAATGGAGTCCTTTGTACAGGACTGTTCTGAAACAGACCCAAGGGGCTGGAACTGCCACCTGTGGCTTCTTTCCTAGCTAAGGGAAGAAAGGAGGTAGGGAGTATTACCATCAAAGTGCCGCCTCAACCTCACCTGACCCCTGTGCCCCTTCCCCGCCCTGCTGTAATCTCCCGCCAGGGTGTGTCTGACAGTTTGGTCTTTGAATTCCCCTGTGGGGCTATGTGCTGTTGTCATCTGAATCAAATACTTCATCCCTGGGTCCTTTGAGTTTAGTTTTGTTGTTGGTAGTGGTGCTTTTGTTTTTGTTTTTTGACATGGTTTTGTCAAATTCCCAAGGCTGGCTTTAAAATTGAGATACTCCTGCCTCAGGCTGCTGAGCAGCTAGGGCTCAGACTTGTGTCACTAGGTCATGAAATTCTCCTCTTTCCTGGGCCAGTCTTGACATTGCCTTTAACAACTGGTTCTTACAGTTGGAAAAGGGGTGTGTGCCTACCACTAGGGACCTAGAGGAATCGTGAGCCCCTCTCATCATCCAACTGACAGGCTGTCTACCTCTCCCAACCTTCCACGCTCTCTGCTCTCTCCACTTACCCCTCATAGCCTCCTCACTTAGATGCATACAGAGGAGACTCCAACTCTGTGGCTAGTAAGATCCTCCCTCTTAAGAATCCACTCACAAATCAGATCAGGTTAGCTTTGTCCCAAACTGTCCAACATCTTCCACGACTTTTAGAACAAATGCCAATTCCTAGAGGGTCATTTGTAGGCCTCTAGTTCCCCAGACTTCTCCCGGTGGTCTAGTGCTTCTGCAAAATGCCAAGAGCCTGAGCTGATTCCTCATCCTACAGGCCAATGTCTAAGGGTCTCCAACTTTAGCCCACACCCGATGTCTAAGGGTCTCCAACGTAGCCCACACCCTATGCATGGCTCTCCACAGTTTTGTAAATAAAATTTATTCTGGTGACTGGGTTTTTCCCATCTTCTACTGGTTAAAGGCTAAAGAGGCAGTCTTCTTCCTTGTTCTGCTCAGTACCGGAAACAGCACTTAGAGCAGAGTAAGCACTGTACAAATATTTACAGAATGAGTGAATGAACACACGGAGGCAGGGGAAGGAATCCTTTCTATGACGGCGCAGGCTTTTAAGACAAACACTCGAGGAGGTCGTGATGGTGGTGAAGATTCAGGAATTCAACGTCATCTTCACTCGGCTACAAACGGAGTTCGAAGTTAGCCCAAGTTACATGAGCCCTGTCTCATGAAAAAAAAAAAAAAAAAAAAAAAAAAAAGGAATTCCTGCTCCTGCGGCTGCAGCTTTGTGAGCATAATAATCTTTTATCCAGGCTATATAATTAAGACGAAGCCTCTCCGAAGCTTGCGGAGAGGAGGTGGGGGAAAGGGTGTAGTTACTAGGGCACAGGTCGCCCCGGGCCACTAATGCTATTTGGTCTCTGTGAGGTCACACCCCGTCGCGCGTTACCAAGGCACCCAGAAGCCAGAAAGGCCCAAAACTTGGCCGCTGGTAAGGATCTAAGCCAAGCGATGGGGGTGACGCGAGAGGCATCTCCGACCTCGTCTCAGCCCGAGTTCTCAGCACAGCCACAGCGCACCTTCCACCACACACTACATTTCTTCTGGAGGAAGAAGCCCCGGCCCCGCCATGGACCCCGCAGGCCCAGCTCGCGGAGGGCAACCAGGCGCCAGACTACCGGCAGAGCCGGAGCCGCTGCCCCCGCTGCCGCCGCGGCCTGGGTCTCCGGCTCCGCCCGTTCCCCTTCCGAGGCCTCCTGCTCCGCCGCGACCCGGGCCGCCGCCTCGGCCGCCAGCCCCGCCCCGCCGCCAGGCCCCGCCTCCCGCCCCAGCGTGAACCCGGCCCGGGGCGGCCTCCCGCGCTCCTGCCGCCGCGCTCTGGCGGTGGCGCTCGCTCGGTCGGCCTCCGGGAAGCCCTCTCCGCCCCGCCGTCGCTACGCCATCAAGATGGCGGCGCCCAGCGAGCCGGCGGGCTTTTCCCGCGGCGGTCTCTTTTCCTTTCCGCCGGGCGGCGCGCGCTCCGACATGACCGACGACCTGGTGACTGACGCGCGGGGCCGCGGCGCGGGGCACAGGGAAGCCGCCGGGCCTGCCGCGACCCCGGCACCGCAAGGTGTGGAGCACGGGAAGCGACCGTGCCGGGCCTGCGTGGACTTCAAGTCGTGGATACGGACCCAGCAGAAGGTGCAGGTGCCCCGCGTGGCTGCCCGGTCCCGATCCCCCGCCCCACACCTGGTTTCCCGGGGCCGGTTCAGGCCTCCCCAGGCCCTAAGCCCTCGGGGTTGGCTGTGCCTAAACATGTCCACCCCTCACCCCCATACACCGTTAGGCTCGAACTTTTGAGCTTTCAAGCCACTGGTTGGTTAGCTGGTTAGAGCGATTTAGTCGGCTGCCAACCGAAAAAGGGAGCGTTCTTGTTCCCTTTATTATTTATTCATTTATTTTTGTGACACTGGGAATCCAACCCAAGGCCTCTGGCGTTCAACGCAAGCCTTCTGCCACTGGGTTGGAATTTTATGGGCTTCTGGTTGGGTAGAAATGAACTGACCCTTAGTCGGCCTACTTCTGCAGCGGGACGTCAAGTTTAGGGAGGATTGTCCAGAGGATCGGGAGGAATTGGGTCGCCACACCTGGGCTTTCCTCCACACGCTGGCCGCCTATTACCCGGACATGCCTACCCCAGAACAACAGCAGGATATGGCCCAGTTCATACATATATTTTCCAAGTTTTACCCCTGCAAGGAATGTGCGGAAGACATAAGGGAGAGGTAAGTTGTAACTGCACCTCTGTCAGTAAGGCCCCTGAAAGGGGCCTGGCTGTTGTCATAGAGAGGGGCCTAGAAAAATAAAAAGAAAAAATAGATTTGGAAGTGACAGGGATCCTTCTCCTTTCTCAAAAGCCCAGTTCTTTAGATCGTTAATCTTAAAGCTCTTAGGAATGGCTTCCCTGCCACTTCCCTTACTTATTCCTCATGGGCAGATTGGCTAAAACTACATATTGCCTAATTTCCCTAATCCCTCAGCTTGGTTACAGACTTTAAAAATGGGAATGAAATAAACTTGTATCGCTCTCAATGGCCTAACCTACTCTCCATAGGTATTCCTAGGTTGGACCTGTGGAGCAGTTGCACTTGCTATTTGAAGCCTAGACAGTTAGGAATGAGGGGGATCTCTTTCTGAACTGGGCCTCTGCTGCTAAGAAACTGTTCCTTGTGCCAAGCCCCACCTATCTGTCCTCTTCCTGGGTCAGTAGATGTGGGCTGAGGCTCCCTGATTGTTACAAGGTTGTAAAATTGCCTGCTTTAGTATATCTTGCTCTGGGCTCTTGCTTTCAGGTGAGTTTCCTCCTGAGCCCAGGAAACCTTTGGCCTTCCCGTCCCCTCGGAATATGAAGGCATCTCCAAGTTTAGTTCTTAGCAATGCCCCAGCTCCCTGTCCCCAGGCACTGGCGACAGAGGAACCAGCATCTCCTTACGTTCTTCATGTGCTTCTCTCACAAAGGATAGGCAGGAACCAGCCAGACACAAGCACTCGAGTTTCCTTCAGCCAGTGGCTGTGCCGCCTGCACAATGAGGTGAACCAGAAGCTGGGCAAGCCTGACTTTGACTGCTCAAGAGTAGATGAGCGATGGCGTGATGGCTGGAAGGACGGCTCCTGTGACTAGAAGACTGCTGGCAGAGCATGTGGGCAGTCTAGCCAGGATCTCTGGGCAACCTGGCTAGAGAGGGACAGCCTATTGATTAAAGTGCATCTGAGCCAAAGCTTGTTTTGGTGGTGGGGAGAGGGGGTACCTGGCACACTGCCTGTGGGAAGCCCATCCACAAGATTAAGAAGTGAAGCTGCCTACTACAGACACTTGGGTGGCCTCCTCAGCCTAGGCCCCGTGGGTCTGAAGATGGAGAAGTAGTCCAGGGAGTCTCATGCTCTTCCTAATGCAGCCTCTTGCTCATTATACCCCTGGGACATAGTTGCCTCATAGCAAGATAGGCTAGAGCATTGCCTTCCTACTGCATAGCCAGGGTGCCTACGGAGCTGTGACCCTGGCAACTCTGTGCCATTTCAGAACTGAAGCACGGTACTGAGCTGTCTCTCCTGTACCTGCTCTAGTAGTTTTTCTATTAGGGTATACCCACTGTGGTGCCTGCTGTGCCTGGCACATGGTCTTCCACAGCTATGACAGGCGTGCCAGCAGAGGATCCTGGAAACAGCTTCCTAGAATCTGAGACCAAAATAAAGTGAAGCGACTTAGAGCCTGGTTTCTGTGTGCTTTGTTCTGGGGTTTACAGTAATGGCGTGGCCTGTTTTTGCTTTTCTGTGATTAGCTGGGTCCTCTTGTCTGAAGTAAGTTCTGGATAGAAGTCACTGTGGAGCAGCTGATGCAGAAACTCTTCAGGAAGAGTCAGAATTCCCAGGGTGAGGAAGAAGCTGAAGAAGACTAGGCGTCTGTGGGGTACAAATGGGTTGTGGCCAGCCTTGGCAGCTGGCCAATTTTGCATCTCAGTGACATTCAGAATTGCTGAATGTGGTGCTGGAGAGATGGCTCAGAGGGTAAAGAGCACTGACTGCCCTTCCAGAGGTCCTGAGTTCAATACCTAGCATCCACACAGTGGCTCATAACCATCTATAATGCCATCTGGTGTCCTCTTTCTGGCCTGCAGGCAGAACATTGTACATAATGATTTTAACAGAAAAAAAAAATACATGCAGGCAAAACACATTTATTTGTTGTAGCCTCTGTCAGTCTTCCTTCTCCGCCCCACCTCCCAAACAAGGTTTTTCCATGGAGCTCTGGCTGGCCTGGAACTCAATTTGTAGACCAGACTGGCCTTGAATTTATAGAGATCCACCTGCTTCTGCCTCTTGAGTTCTAGGATTAAAAACATTACAAAAAAGGGAAAAAGGCCAGGTATAGTGACACATGTCTTTACCTTTAACCCTTGCACTCAGGAGGCAGAGGTAGTCAGATCTCTGTGAAGTATGAAGCCACTACTGAGTTCCAGGTCAGTCAGGGTTATATAGATCTTATCTAAAAACTAGGAGAGGAAAACCAACAACTCAGTTTTAAAAAGTAAAACCTTCATTTTGTCCCTGTTCACATGGTGTCCAGGTCAAGGCAGGAACTGTAGTGTAGGAAGGTTATGGTTTGAGCTGGCATTTGAGAGCGGTCCTGCACATACAGAGGAAGAGAGGCAATACAAAGGGGTAAGTACCCAGCGATGGTGGCACACACCTTTAATACCAGTACTACATAGTGAGGCCCTGTCTCAACCACAGAGAAGGCCCCAGGACCCTTTAGGCCCACAAGTAGATCTGTTAAGTGGATTAGGAAAAGGGACTTCCAAAAGGGGCTCGTGATGGGTAGGGATGTAGCTAAGAAGGAAAATGCTTGCCTGTTGCATAATGCCCAAGGTTCTATTTCCTGGGTGCTGTAGGCTATGAGGTATAAGTAGCATGGATGAATCAGTAGAATCAAGCTTGATGCTGAAATGGCAGGTGGAGGTGTCTGTCCAGACACAGGGCAGGTGTTTGATTACACTGGGGATTCTGAGGGAAAGAGAGGGAGAGGTACTAGAGATAGATGGGTAACAGCTTGAATTTGTTTTGGTGATATTGGGAACTGAATCTAAGACCGATCCCATGCTTGCTAGGTAGCCATTCTACCGCTGAGCCCAAGAACCCTGTTTTTCAAAGAATGGGCTGTGTGTTTGGGTGCTGATGAAAGTAATAGAGGAAAAGGGGGAACACATATCTTCTGTCCCAAGCTAAGAGGAGACGGGATGGGATGAACTGTCAGAGAGTTGACCAAACTGGTGGGCTGCCTCTGTTCAACTAGACTGAAGAGTTTCAGATCAAAACCGGTGGGTTTCCCAGGGACTGGACCCGGCAACCCCAGCTACACTTCCCTCTGAAGAACGAACAACAGGTCACAGTAAAGCGCTTGGCACTATGTATTCTCAGTATATGTAAACTTTGCTTATACCTGGCTCTGGTCCCAGGAAGACAAAAATAGATAATTAGGGGCCTTACCCAAGATCACTACACCCCAGCTTCTGTGGCCGTGAAAGTGGAACCATTTGGTGTTCTACCAGCCTGGCACTGCAAGAGCATGAAGTACGTCTGTTACTTAGGCCGGGGTCTTTGGGAATCCCAGCAGAGGCCAAGGGGGCTAGGCAACAGCTGGGACAAGATTTTATCTCAGCTGCTTCTCCCCAACGCAGGATTAATTAGCTACAGATCAACCAGCTACAGATCAACCGAGGGAACCAGAGATGAACAGAGCTTCTGGAAGACATGATCTGGCCAGAGGAAGAGGACCTTCCCTCCTGCTGGCCACAGGGACTCTGCTTCCCAGTCAAGTTCGGGAGGGTAGGAGCCACAATTCCCACATGATCCTGTTAAAAAGGTACAACCTATGAAGGAGAAGCCAGAATGCAGGGGGGTGTGAGCCACATGTCTGAGCTGAGATGTTCTCCATTCTCAGAAAGAGGTCAGGGGCTTCTTTCCTTACGTGTTCCTTAATTTTCTTACAGACTCAAGGGCTACTGAGAAAGTCCCTCGGTGACTTACCTCTGGTCTTCCGAGGCAGAGGCTAGTTTCCTCTCCCTGAATGTAAAGGGCAAGATGCTGGGCCTCAGTTTCCCCTTACATACTCACCAAAAGACCCTTCCGGTCAGAGAAGTAGGGTAATGTGCTTGTCGTTTTGTCGAAGCTCTTGGCCATGGCAAAATCTGAGCTCAGCCCTTACCTTCTCTCTTGCCCACCTCTAAACCCCATGAGGATTTCGCTTTGTTTCTTCTGAGAACGTGCCCATCCCCTACTCTGTCAAGCTGGGAAGAGCTAGCCGGGAAGGATGGAGGGCGAGGGCTCAGGCCCCGGCGCGTGGACCTAGTCGGGGGCGCTGGCTCGGCCCCGCCCCGCGCGCCCGCGCCGCAGCCGAGGCGCGCTCCCGGGAGGCGGTGGCAGCGGCAGCATCCGTAGCATCAGCAGCCTCAGCCGCAGCCCCGGGCGGTCTCGGGCAGCACAGACCTGCGGGACAAACGGACAGAAGGCAGAGGTCCGCAATGGAGGGAGGCTCCTTCGGCGCCGGCCGTGCGGGAGCTGCCTTCGATCCCGTGAGCTTCGCGCGGCGGCCCCAGACCCTGTTGCGGGTCGTGTCCTGGGTGAGTGGCTCCTAAGCAGGTCCCTTCCCGGACCCCCGCCTCTCCTAGCATCCCCTGTCCCCCACCCTCCCCCACCCCCTGCCCATCGCCCCTCACCCTCCTCTCCGCCGGCCCCTCCCCCCGGGCCGCAGGTTGGGGTGACGTCACAAGTCTAGGCGCGCCCACCTGCGGGCGGGGGAAGGGACCGCTGTTACCAATAGACCTTGAGAGGTCACCTCTCCCCCTGCCCTCAGTTCCTCTTTAGGTCTAATCCAGTCCTCTTCCTCAGTCTTCTCTTCATTTTTCCGGTTCCCACGACCTGGAAGCGGGCACGGGGTTGCGGATGTGATTCTCCGAGGGATTCAGGGACTAAATTCCCGATGGAAGAGGGGGTATGGGAGCCAAGGGGAAATGCGCAGTTTCCTTCCCTTTGCCTGATCACAAATCCACTGGCTCATTTGAAGGGTGATGGTCCTTCCTAGACCCCTCAGGTCTAGCTGGGAGTTGAAGCAGGAAAAGAGGGCTCCCTGTTGGTGTAGGGGAAGGGGCTCATCTGGGAGGGCTTCCTGGAAGTGGCATGGAAGCCGCAGAATGGTGGTGTGTGTCCTGCCTGTCCTAGGGCAGAAGCTTTAGGAAATGGGTGCTAAAGTCTGGATTTTTGTCCAGCTGGCGCTCATCTAATCTCCATGCCTGCCTTGGAGGAGGGCGGTTCCCAGGGTGGGGCAGCCCCTCCCCCCAGGACCTCGTGGACTGAAGGAAGAACACTCTTCTGATTGCTCTCAAGGGACAGGTCCATGCCGTGGCATTTTCCATGACTACATTATCAAGGAGATTGGGTGAGAAAAGAGTGGAACGATGAGTTGAGGCTAGAGGGCATTCTTGAGAACGCAGGACTGACGGGACTTAGAAGTGTCTGGTTTAAGATGACTGTGGCTTGCTTCTGTCATGCCTCGGAGAACTGGTGGACGGAAGGTACCGAGGTTGGGCCAAACCTTAGAACTCAGTGGTCACCTTTAGAAGCCAAATGCTCTTGACTGGTGTTATAATAACTCTGAAGTGTCCGCCGCTGCTGGTGGACATTCTTGGGACCCAGCATTCCATCGAGGCTACTTCACACCATGAGGCACACGAAGGAGCGGACACACTGCTCGGGTTCAAAGGGGGAAGGGCTGACATACTTCTCTAGACAGCTGCCCATTGGTGTCACCTTCCACATGCCCTGGCCCACCACAGCCCTGGAAGTCACCCACAGGGTGAAGGCTCAGTCTCCACATTTAAGTATAGTCACTCAGTCATGTGACCCTGAGAAGTAAAATGTGGACCCTAATATGCCTCCTTAGCAAAGGGATAAGAAGGGTGCCTCTGCTCTTTTTGTTGACGGGTGTTTGGACTGCAGGTCTGATGGTGTGCATCATGAGCTGCCATGTGGGTGCTGGGAGGAACCCAGGTCCTCTAGGAGAACAGCCTGTGTTCTTAACCACTGAACCACGTAGTACTGTTTCATTAGAGACTTGTGTAGCCAGGGCTGTCTTCCTCTTACCCTTCTTCTTCCACCTATCCAGTGTTGAGGTTACACTCCATGCAAACCCACCTAAAGTAGCGGTTTTAGCTACTTCCTAAATGACTCTTTATTTTCAATAATTACTCAGTACACGAGGGAATGGGAAGAGAAGCTCAGTGCTTCAGGGGAACTCTGAGACAGCAATCAGACGTGGGCTCTTGACAGAGGCAACAGATGCCTCAGGGGATGGCGGGAGGAGACCTGGGAGCCCTAAACACTTCCCGCTGCCCGCAGGTATTTTCTATAGCCGTGTTTGGTCCGATTGTCAACGAGGGCTACGTGAACGCAGACAGCGGTCCAGAGCTGCGTTGCGTCTTCAATGGAAACGCGGGCGCCTGTCGCTTCGGCGTCGTGCTGGGTCTCGGGGCCTTCATCGCCTGCGCCGCCTTCCTGCTGCTGGACGTGCGCTTTCAGCAGATCAGCAGTGTCCGAGACCGGCGTCGTGCAGTGCTGCTGGACCTGGGCTTCTCAGGTGGGAGGCAGGCGGGGCCTGGTGTAGGGAGCGGGGCTGGTGCGGGGCCTCTGGGAAAAGGTGGAGCCTGGCACTATCCGGGAGATCCTAGGACGTTTGCATGGACGCGACTGGGTCTCTAGGGATGGACCAGGTGCAGGGACTGCCGCTGGGCTTCTTCCTCGTCTCAGAGATGCTTCTCAGGGTTTTGAGCAGGTGGGACCCAACCACAAGAGGGCGCGACCTAGAGGTACAGGGTCGAAGCCTTATGCAGGGAGCTCCTGGGATCTCTGGACTCGTGGCCAGTCTAGAGAAAGGGGTGCCTGACGTGCAGAGTAAGGCTAGGCTTCGAAGGGGCAGGGGCAGGGGCAGGGGCAGGGCTTTGGAGGTCTTGCGAATGGCGTTTTTGAACTTGAGGGACACTGCAACTTCTCTGAACGCGTGAGGTTCTGTGGTTTAACTAGAGCGAGGATCCTGGTGGCGGAGGAGCACCATCTGATCCCCAGCCCCCACCTGCAGGGGTCTGGTCCTTCCTGTGGTTCGTAGGCTTCTGTTTCCTCACCAATCAGTGGCAACGCACAGCTCCAGGGCCAGGCACCGCACAGGCTGGGGATGCAGCACGGGCCGTCATCGCATTTAGCTTCTTCTCCATCCTCAGCTGGGTGAGTGCGGGTCCATGGGCGGAAGGGGGTGTGTGGGGGGAGTGTCTCCGGGTTTGCCCCAGCTGACCCTGGCTCCCCCATCCAGGTGGCGCTCACCGTGAAGGCCCTGCAGCGGTTCCGCCTAGGCACCGATATGTCTCTCTTTGCCACAGATCAGCTAGGTGCTGGGGCTGCCCAGGCCTACCCAGGCTACCCAGTAGGCAGTGGTGTGGAGGGCACAGAAACGTACCAGAGCCCGCCCTTCACCGAGACCCTGGACACGAGCCCCAAAGGGTACCAGGTGCCTGCCTATTAGTAGCTGTTAGGCTCCGGCCAGGGCTGGAAGGCCACCTCACCATCGTAGGCCTCAAGGCCTCCTGAGACCTTTCCTGGGTCCTACCGTGCCAGGGACAGAGAAGGTAGCCACTGTGGGACTCTGGGACCAAGGGGAGTAGCCTCCCTGGGGTGCCTGGACTGTCTTCACAAAGCTTCCCCTAGCCAGAGGTCCCAGTTCTAAGGCCCTGAGAAGAAAACAGTACTTCCTGGAGTGGACTGGCCTGGGAGGCATTCCTTTCATGGGGCCAGCCAACCAGGGACTCACCTGTCCACTCTAGGGTCAGAAGTCCAGCTGTCTTTCAGGGCAGGGTGCAAGGGCTTCTGGGATCAGGCGGAGAGAGACTGATTGTTTCCTTAGGTGGAAGTTATGGCCCTTGTTCCCAGCCCCATGTCCCTGTGGGCAGCGACTGCCCTGGCTCCTCTCGTGGTGGTCCACCCTGTCTGGAGGCTCCTTCCACTTCCTCTTGCAGGATCCCTAGAGCAGCTCAGCCCTGTCGGTGTTGTGATTGTGATTAAGTCTTCAGGTCTCATCTCATAGTGCCCCATAAGCTGCCCCTCTCCCATGTGGCTCCTGCCAGGTGAGGGTGCTTTTGACCAGGAAGGCATAGACAGCTATGGGCCTGGGCACCCTTCCCCCTCCAGGAAGACCTTCCCTAGGGAAGAGTGAGACAGCTGGGTACCTGGGTGCCAGGCAAGACAAGCCTCTTACAAGGAGAGGACTAAAGGTCTCATCTGCCCAGGGTGTCCCTGGAGAGAGTCATTTCTGTAAATGGCTTAACCTCGGCTTCCTGAACCGATTCTCCTAATAGGTCCTTCCCTATTCTCCTGTCTATCCCCTTTTATGGCCCAGACCAGGTGTGGGTCCCCACGCATAGCAGACTACTCATGCATTGCTTGAAGCTGGCTTTTCACATCCAGTCAAAACCAAACGCGTTGCCATATCTCATTCTTTCAGACAAAATGCCTCCCTGTGGAGTTGCAGTTGAATGACACCCCTGTACGTTGTAGCATAGACCAATCATGTGGAGATTTAAGTGGACATGTTTACAATTTTTGTATATATGGATCTATTTCTCTCTCTTCTGAAAGAACAATCTGTGATTGTGTATTTTCAGTGTCCCCTGTTACAACTGCAACTTCTTTACAATAAAGACTGTAAATGCATTGATCATGACTAAGGTCCTCCCAGAATCATTTTCACCCCTCTCCCTCCTGTGCTGGTGGCTGGGGAATCGGGGTTTGGGGGCCCACAATTTAGAAGGGGTAGGAAGGTGGGGATCAGGCCGACTCCTAAATTTTAGAGAAAGACCACACAACTATGATCCCTCAGGAGAGCACCTTGGTCTGGTGAAATTTGCTGCTCATTGCAGGCTCTCTGAAATGCTGAAGATCCTCTCTGGTTTTGTCCTTTTTCTTATTATTTTCTTTCTTTC